TTCCAGGAGCTGCTGATTCAGCTGGTCCCTGGGATCTGCATCCCTGCCCTGTCACCGCCGGCTGCTCCCCATGGGACACCCGGACACCGGCACCCCGAGGGCCTCAGATGTCTGAAACTGAGCCTGGAGACCCCGACCCGCGCTTCCCTGCCTGGATCCACCGGGATCCTGCAATCCCTGCCCGCAGCCGACGGGATCCTGCTCGTCTCTGCCTGCCTCTGATGGGATCTTGTGCTTCCCCCCCTGCAGCTGATGTGAATCTGCACTTCCCCACCTGCATCCTTTGGGATCCTGTGCTTCCCTGCCTGCAGTCGGTGGGAACCTGCACTCCCTGCCTGCATCTGATGTGATCACGCTCTTCCCTGCGTTGATGGGATCCTGCACTTCCCAGCCTTCATCCAACGGGATCATCATCTTCCCTGCCTGCAGTCAGTGGGAACCTGTGCTTCCCTGTCCACAGCGGGTGTGATGCTAACCCTTCTTGCCCGCATGCAACAGGATCCTGTGCTTCCCTGCCTGCAATCCAACAGGACATTACACTGCCCTGCCCACATCTGATGGGATTCTGCTCTTCCCTGCCTGCATCTGGTGGGATCCTGTGCACCCCTGCCTGCATTCGAAGGGATTCAGTGCTTCTCTGCCGGCATCGACCAAACCCTGCACCTCCCTGTGACTGGATCCTGCACTTCCCTGCCTGCAACCAACAGGATTTGATGCTTCCCTGCACCATTCGGATCCTGCTCTTCCTTTCCTGCACCCACTGGGATTCTGGGCCACCAGCCCTGGTCTGGCTGCTTCAAAGCCGCACCGTGCAGGCCCCCTTCTCCATGGGCACACACACGCGTGCGTTCACACGCGTGTCCATGCGTGTCCGTGTGTGTCCGTGTCCCACTGTCCCTCTCGGGTCTTTTTGCGGTCTGGGCTTGCTGTCCCCTCCGCGGCACTCAGGAAGCCCTTACCCCAAAAAGCATCCGCGGGGGACGCGCTCACCGGGGGGACCCAAACCTCCTGGGGACAGAGGGGACACCGCACACGGGGGGGGGGGGTGCACGTCGGCAGCTCATGGGCATGGGACAAGGTGGGGCAGCCGCATGTCAGAATGGGCAGGGGGTACCATGGGCACCAACCGGGGCTCTTGTGCACAGGGGTGCACAGCCCTGGAGGGGGCACAGGGGTGCACGGGCACAGGGAGTGCACAAGGATGGGCAGCCCCAAAGCATGCACATAGGTGTGCACAACCTGTGTCGCACCCCCGCCATGCACACACCAGCACAGGCCAGGGATGCTCTGTGTGCACAGGGAGAAGCACAAACGGCTGTGGCACTGCCCAAAGTGCCACCAGCACCCTTGGCCCCGTGTCCCTTCATCCCCATGTTCCTCATCCCCATGTCCCCCACATCCCCTTATCCCTTTGTCCCCTCGTTCCCTCATCCCCTTGTCCCATTGTCCCCTTACCCCTTGCCCCCTCGTCCCCAGCAGCACCCCATGGCCATGTGTCCCCTTGCACCATCACACCCGTCCCCAGCACCATCTCCCGTGACTGATAGTGACTCCATGGTGGATGTCACTGTGACCGATGCCCCTGTCCCCCTGCCCATGCCTCTAAACCCCTATCCTATGCTGGATCCCAGCGCTCCCAGTTTGGGTGCCCAGTTACCAGCACAAACAGCAACACTCTTGTTGGGGTTTCATGTGGTGCTTGCACACACACATGCACATACATGTACATACATGTACGCGTGTGCCCCGGAGCAAAGCCCAGCTCTGTCACCCAGCCTGGGAGCAGCTGGGGGGACATAGGGGACATTATTGCAGCCTTGTCCCCCCCGGTGGCACCCAGGGAATGGAGTGAGGGGAGTGGGGGGGCTGGTGGGGACTGGGGACAGGGGGGTGATGCTGCCAGGGGGGAACAGGGCTTGGGGACAGGAGCAATGGTGGCTTGCGGGGACAGGGACTGAGGACATGAGAAGGGTGATGGGGACTGGGGACAGGAGTGGCAGCGATGGTGGCTGGGGAGGGGTAGGGACTGGGAACAGAGACTGAGGACATGAGGGATGATGGATGGAGGGGGACAGGGCTTAGACACGAGAAGGATGCTGGCTGGGTGGGGACACTGATCAAGGACAGGGCTTGGGGACATGGGTGATGCTGGGTGACAAGACAGGGACTGGAGACAGGGCTTGGGGACATGAGTGATGGCGGCTGGCAGGGGACAGGGCCTGGGGACAAGCGTGGTGATGGCTGGGGAGGGTTCAGGGTTGGGGGCCACGAGTGGTGCTGGATGGGGGACAGGGCTTGGGGACAGGAGCTGGCTGGGAGGGGGACAGGGTCTGGGGACAAAAGTTGAAGCAATGGGGGGTGGACAGGGCTTGGGGACAGGAGCGGGAGGGATGCGTCAGGGACAGGAACCAGGGACAAGATCGATGCTGGGGGGGTACCAGGGATCAAGGACAGGACTGGGGACACGAGTGACGGTGTTGGGAGGGCAGGGACAGGGGCACGGTGATGGTGTCGGGGGGGTCAGGCCATGGTGACACGAGCCCTGGGGCGCTGACCCGCGGTTCCTGGCAGGGCAGCGGCCGCGTTTGCCCGGCACCGCACTTGTCACACCCCCCCCCGGGCACCCTGACCCCCCCCCCGGCAGCCTGAGGGCACCCGCAGGCAGACGCTCATTGCTGGGGTGTTGCGGTGAACCCCATTGTCCCCTTGGGCCACCCCATCTGTGCCCTCGCATGGCCCCAGCTGTGTCATGTCCTGCCCCCCCCCCCGGGTCTGGGGACATCAGACAGCACCCAGCACCCCCCCCCCCCGGGGTGCAGACACCTCTGGGGACACCCATGAGCACCCTTGATCGGGGTTTGAAGCCCCTCCAGGGTGGGCTCCATGTCCCCATGTCCCATATCCCTGTGTCCCCATACCCCCATGTCCCTCTATGTCTTCTCATATCCCGATGTCCCATATTCCCATATTCCCATGTCCCCATATCCTCATGTTCCCCATATCCCCATGTTCCCCCATGTCCCCATATCCCACATCCCCATATCCTGTATCCCCATGTCCCCCCATGTCCCTATATCCCCATGTTCCCCCATGTCCCCGTGTCGTCCCCGTGTCCCCATGGGGACCCCGTGGTGATGCCGGTGTCAAGCGGGGTGACTCCCAACCGCAGGAATGTGGGTGCTAGTCCAGGCTGGCCGCAGGATCCCTCGGGAATGCTGGGCTCTCCCCCCGGGCTGCCGGCAATCCCGGCGGCTCCGGCCAGCCCGTAATATCCAGGAATTAGCCGGGTGGCTCCGCACCAAAAATAACATCGGGAAGCGGGGGAGACACAGGGAGAATCCCACGGGATGGGGGCTGCCAGCTCCCGCCTGCCCCGGCATGAATCCTGGCGCTGGATCCCGAATCCCGGCCCATGGGGACTTCCCTGTTGAGGGGGTCCGTGGCCGGGGTGGCCCCGGGGATGGGGACAGGGCTATGGGGAGCCGGGGGGAGGGTGTCCCCATGGGGTGCAGACTGTCTGATGGGGTGACAGCGGGGACCGACTCTGTCCCCATCCCTGCCCCAGCCCATCCTAGTCCTTGTCACCGTCCCCGTCCTTGTCCACATCCCTGTCTCATCTCTACCCTCAGCCCTATTCCCATCTCCATCCCTCCCCCTATCCCCATTCTGCACCCAGCAAGTCCTGGTCCCAGTCCTATTCCCACCCAATCTGTGCCCCCATCCCTGTCTCTGTCCCGTCCCCGTCCCATTTTGGTCCCCATCCCTGACCCTGTCCCATCCCCATCCCATCCCAGTCCCTATTCCCATCTCCACCCCCTCCTCATCCCCATCCCTATCTCCGTCCCATCCCACCTGCCCAGGTGTGTATGTGCCACATCTCCGTGCCCAGATGCGTGTGTGTCCAGATGTGCATGGGCGCGGACCCGCCTGTCCCAGCCGTGCGTCTGCCCGGATCCGAGCGTGCCCAGATGTGTGCGAGCGCGCGAGCGTGCCCAGATGTGCCCAGACCCGCGTGTGCCCGGCCGCACGCGCTGCCCGACGTGTGCTCACACCCGTGTGTGCCCCCCCCCCACCTGGGTGCTGTGGGGCAGAACGGGGCCAGGGAGGGACGGACCCGGGGGTCCCATGGGAGCACCAGGGTGCGTGTGAGCGCGCGGCGCGTGTGCGTGTGCACGGCGCTGCCGGCGGGGATGTGTCACCGCGCACACGCACACGGGGGGGGGGGGGCGGCTCCACCCGCGCACGTAGACACGCAGGACGCGTCCGCGCGCTGTGGGGCACGCGGTGGGGCGGGGACGTGTCGGGGGTGGGAGGTGCCCCAGGGGTCACCTGGGGATATCCCCCCCCAAGTGCTGGGGGTATCCCCGGCCCCCCCCCCCCGTGCTCATTGTGTCCCTCCCCCCCCCAGTGCTCCATGTGACCCCCGGAACTCTCCCCGCGGTGCTCGGGGTATCCCGAGGACCCCCCCCCATGTTCACTTGGGCCCGTTCCCCGCACGTGGTGCATCTCCGGGCCCCCCCATCCCATGCTCGGTTCGTCCCCTCTCTGATGCTCCCCATGTCCCCAGGACCCCCCGGTATTGCTGTGTCCCGGGACCCCGCCGCTGGGTGCATCCACGGGATCTCCATCGTGTCCCGTGCATCCCCGGGACCCTGCCCGGTGCTCCGTGTGCCCCGGGACAACTCCCACGGTGCATCCCGGGACCCGTCCCCTCGTGCTCCATGTGTCCCCGGGACCCCCTCACCATGTTCGGTTCAACCCCAGGGCCCCCCCATTGTCGCTGTGTTCCGGGACCCCCGTGTTCATTGCGTCCCAGGACTGATCCCCCCAGGTGCATCCCTGGAATTACACCCCCCCCGTACCCCCCGATCCTCCATATGACCCCGGCACCCCCCCGTTATCGCTGTGTCCCGGGATCCCCCTGCTTGCTGCATCCCCCGTCGGACACATGGACGGACATGGACGGACCCACGGGCACACACGTGGGCACACGGACGGACACACGGACACGGACACGGACACGGCCGCGGTCGGGCCGGGGCGGGCGGGGCCGGGAAGCGCCGTTGTGCAACGGCTCCGCTCCGCTATAAAGGGGGGGCCGCGGGGATGGAGCCGCCGACGGGACCGGACGGGACCCTCAGGGCGAGCCAGGTAAGGGGGGGATCCCCGCACCCCCACCTAGGGACACCCCTTGTCCCGGGATACCCCTTGTCCTAGGACCCCCCTTCTCCTGGGACATCCCCCCCCATGGGACACCCCTTGTCCCGGGACTTCCTCACCCCAGGACACCCCCACTTCCCCAAGGACCCCCCTTGTCCCGGGATACCCCCACCATGGGACCCCCCCTCATGGGACACCCCTTGTCCCGGGACCTCCCCACCCCAGGGACACCCCCACTGTGGAGCCCTCCTCCTCCCCAAGGACCCCTCTTTGTCCCTGGGTACCACTCCCATGGGACACCCTCCTATGGCAGTTCCTTTGTCCTGGGACATCTCCCCATGGGATCACCCTTCTTCCGGGACACCCCCACCATGGGACATCCCTACCACCCCAGGACACCCCCACAACTCCCTAGGGCCACCACCCCGATGGACTCCCCAGCGCTGTGTGGTGCAGAGCGGGGGGACACCCCTGTCTCCTCCCATATCTCCCCCATCCCCGTGTCCCCTCCGTGTCTCCATCTCTCCCCTCCCTCCCTATCCCCCCCTTGTCCCCCTTTGTCCTCCCCATCCCCATGTGTTCCCCATGCCCCTGCTCACTCCCCGCTCTCATTCCCCCCCCCCGGAGGCTCCTCGGGCCGGTTTTGGGTCTCCCCCCCCCCCGTGTCCCGGTGCCGGTGCCATGTGGGGCCCGGCCGCGCCGCTGTGGGCGCTGCTGTGCCTGGGGCTGCCCGCGGCCGTGGGGCGCCCCGTGGGGCTGGACAGGGTGCGGGTGGACGCGAGGAACCTGATCCGCACCCTCAGCACCCGCCTCCAGCGCCTGCAGGTGAGGGGGGGGGGGGCCCAGCAGGGACCCCGGTCAGGAAAGGGGAGGGGAGAGCCTCAGGGTAGTCCATGGGGGGCACCCAGAATGGACATGGGGAGATGGGGGGGGGGCGAGGGGGGATATAGAAGGAGGGGGGGGGTCTATGTCTAAATTGGGGGTCCCGGGGTGGGGAGCACATCATGGCTGGGGGGGATCTCTGAGGCACAGATTGGGGGCCCTCATGGGTGGGATGCTGGATAGGGGGTCCCTGTGCCCTAACTAGGGGTCCCAGGGGAAAGGTCCCCATGGCTGTAAGGTTTAGGGGCTGCTCTGAGGCAGCGATTGGAGGTCCCCTGGGGGGGGGATGCTGAATAGGGGGTCCCCCTAGGAGGTCCCCATAGGCGGTCCCATTGCTGATGGGTCTGTGCCCAAACTCGGAGTCTACAGGAGGGGTCCCCATGTCTGTGGGTGGTGGTGGGGTCTCTGGGCCCAGATTTGGGGTACCCAAGGGGGGAGTCTGTGCCCTAGATAGGGGTCTCAGGAGGGGTATCCCCATGGCTGGGGGGGGTCTCCATGCCCAGATGAGGGGTTCCAAAGGAGAATTCGTTTGGGAGGAGGGGTATTCCCAGGAGGGGGGGGATCCCCCTGGCTTGGGGGGGGGGGGTGTCTATGCCCTGGATAGGGATGTTCCCAAGGGGTAGATGCTGGGAGGGGGGATCCCATTGCCCAGAGGTGGGGTAGTGACCTGGACTGCAGGGGACCCCCATACCTTTATGGGGTGCCTGTGGGTGCTGACCCCCCCCGTGTTCCCCCCGCAGCTGTTCCCGCTGGGGGTGCAGATCCGCGGGCTGGGGGCGGTGCTGGAGGGGCCGCCCCCCCCTCCGGGTCTGGGGGCCATGGGGCAGCGCCTGCAGCTCTTCCAGCGCCTGCTGGGGGCGCTGCCGGGAGGGGGCGCCGCGGGGGGGGCGCCGCTGGCGCAGGTGGCCTCGGACCTGGAGACGCTGCGGCACCTGCTGGGGGCCATGGGCGCGCTCCTGCGCTGCCCCCCCCCGCCGCCGCCGCCGCCGCCCCCCCCCGCGCCGCCCCCCGGCCTGGCCGAGGCGCCCCACACGGCGGCAGGGGTGACCCTGGCCCGGCTGCGCCGCTGCCTCGATGCGCTGGAGCGGGGACTGGAGGCGGGGGACATGGGGTGTTAGCGGGGGAGGGCATGGGGTGTCAATGGGGAACACATGGGGACAATGGAGGGGAGCCGGGATGTTAATGGGGAGGGATGGAACATAGGGTGTGAATGGGGAGGGACATGGGGTGGTAATGGTGGGGGGAGAGCCGGGCTTTTAACTAGGACATGGGTGGACATGGGCGACACTGGGGGGAACCTGGGCTGGTAACAGGGGACACGGGGGAGGATGGGACACACTGCTGTGATTGCTCTTATTTTATTCCTCTTTTATTAATATTTCATTATTTGATAGTTATTTTATTGCTATTTCCTTATGTTCTTGTCCTTTTACTGTTATTTTATTACTACTTTATTGTTATTTTCTTAGTAATTTATTAATATTTCATTATTTTACTGTCATTTTATGACCATATCGTTCTTTTAGTGTTTATTATTTCATCATTTTTTTGTTACTCTATCACTATTTATTATTTTACTGTTAATGTTTTCTCATTTTATTGCTATTATGGTATCAAACTATGACCAAATTCTTATTATTACATTCTGATTTAGTTATAATTAGTGATTAGTATTGAAGTTTTATTAATTAAAATACTGTTAGCATTAACTATGAAATTCTTAATTTATGTTCATGGAATTTGTATTTTATTACCGTTATTAGTGGATTATTTAATTTTATAATTTATTAATGTTATTTTTATCATTATTATCGAATTATTTATCATTATTTTATTACCAGGGCGTTATTATTGTATTTGTATTAAATCCTTATTTTATCATTATTATAACTGAATGCCCAATATTTTCATTATCACATTATTATGAGCATTGTTATTATTATTATTGCTGCTCTTGAATTATTATCCAATTCTTATTAGTTTATCATCATTTTACTATTGTTATATTGAATTATCGTGGAATTATTCATTCTTCTGATTGAATGACAATGCCGATGGTGACAATGGTGACAATGACCCCAACCCCTGCCTGGTGCAGGGACCCCAAACCAGGGTCACCCCAGGACACAGGGTCACACGAGGTCACATTTGGGCCCAGGGGTTCAGCAGCCACCAACACTGGGACATTGGGGGCCACAGGGACAGGAAGGGGGACAGGGGGATGTGGGGGGATACAAGGACATGGAAGGACAAGAGGGATATGTGAAGGGACACAAGGACACATGAAAGGTGACACGGGGAGGGCACATAAGGGGACACAGGGACCTGAGGGCACCTTTTATCCTCCAAAAGCTTTATATTAAAATATACTCCAATACTTTTACATGGGGAAGGGGGGGGAAGCACCCATGGGGGGGTCCGGGTGCTGGGGGGGGGGGGGTCCTCAGCTCTCGAACCACTTGCTCCTCTTGGCTGTGGGGGGGTCACTGCCCAGGATCTTCCTCTTGTACCGCTCCACCAGGGCATTGAACCGGGCCTCAGCCCCCCCAGTGCCCTCTCTGCGAGCCTGAGGTATTGGGGTGAGATGGGGGGACTCCAAACCCCACCCCCATCACCCTAAATCCACCCCCACCCAACCAACATGGGGGTTACCAAGCCCACCCTCCCCAATCCACCCACCCATGAAAGGGGGAGCCCCAAATGTCACATGAGGTGGGGGGAAGGGTGGGGGTCCCCAAAACCCTGAGTCATCCCCACATATACCCGAGGTAGGGGGGATCCCCGAATTACCCCCCTCAGAGCCACCATGGGTAGGGGGAGCACAGGGGTCCCCAAACACCCACCCCTGCACTCATCCAAGGGGGTAAAGGACGGGGGTCCCAAACTTGCCCCCGATCCCCACAGAAGGATGGGGATCCCCAAATCCATGCCCCCACCCATTCAGTCACACTGAGGCTGCAGGGCCAGGGGAAGGGGGTGAGGAGACCCCCCTGGCACCCCCAGTTAGGGGGATCTGATACCCCAAAAGCACATGGAGGGGTTGGGGGGTCCTTACCTGGGGGGGGTGCACCTTGTGCTTTTCTTTCCTCCTCTGGGCTTTGGCCTTAGGCTGTTTCTGCTTGGGGGGGGGCTTCACCTTCCCCTTGTCCCGCTTCCTGGGGGCAGGGAGCAAAGGGGCACCCATGGGTGCTCAGTACCTTCCTGGGTGCCAATATACCCCATGGGTGCTGCCAACCAGCACCCAGAGGGGATACGGGCACAGGAGGGGAGGGGGAAGATGGGGATCCCTCAATGGGGGCAAGAAGGAGGGAAGAAAAGGTGGGGGATGAGGAAGAAGGTGACAAAGAGGAGGAAGACAAGGAAGGGGAAAGCAGATGAAGGGGCGGAGGAAGAGGAAGGGGGGAGGAAGAAGGGCCCCCCCGTACCTGATCTTGGGCCCGCGGTGCGAGGGCAGCGCCAGCACCTTCCTCCTTGTGGACCCATCTGGAAGCGTCACCCTCCCTGCGTGCGGATCCGTGCGGAACCCGGACCAGGGCTGGGGGGGCTCCAGGGAGGCAGAGGGGGGGGCCGGGGGGTCCTGCCCCCCTTCAGGGGCCCCCCTCTTCCCATGGGGCTTCTTCTGGGGTGCAGCCGGTTCAGGGGTTGCTGCTGCTGCTTGCATCTGCTTCAGCTTGAGCTGGGGGGGGGGCAAAGGGTGAGCAATGGGGATGGGGGGGATGAAGGGGGGGACCCAAAAGGGTGGGGGGCACCCACGAGGCTGCGCTGGGTTCGCTGCTCCTTCAGCTTCAGCTTCCGCCGGTCCTCGAGGGAGAACTCCACGATGGGGCGCTGTGGGGCAGGAATGGGGGTGAAGAGGGGTGAAAAGAGGGGTGAAGGGGGGATGGATGGGAGGGAATGAATAGGGGGGAAAATGGGGGGAATGCACGGGGGAATTATCAATGGGGCAGGATATGAATGGGGTGATGAACACGAATGGGGGACACACAAATGGGGGGCACCCACGCAGGGCTTGGGGGGGATAGATGGGGGCAACTCCCCCAAAGGGCATGGGAGGACCCCCTTGGTGCACTATAGGGCAGAGTGGGAGGGCATGGACGGGCCCTGCTGGTGGGAGGTATTTGGGGGGGGCACAGGGGTGCAGGAAGAAGGGGGTTAAGGGGTGGGTATAAGGATCTGGATGGGATTACAGGGGTGTGGATGGTTGATACAGGGGTGCTGCGAGGGATAAAAGGGCTCTGGGAAAGATATAGGGGTGATGGGGTGTTATAGCAGTGCAGGGGGTTGTAGGGGCAAGGGGAGGCAATAAAGGTGCTGCGGAAGGGGATTAAGGTTTCAGAGGGCTTATAGAGGTGCTGGGGGGTGATATAGGGGTGAGGGGGGCTATAGAGGTGGTCTGGGGGGTTATTGGGGTGCGAGTGGGATATCGGGGTACTGGGGAGGGCTGCAGGGGGTTGGTGACAGATGGGGCCTCTCAAACCCCCTCAGTTAAAGTGCAGGGTCTGGGGGGGCTGTGGATGCCCCGGGGGGGGTTCAGCGCCCCCACCTTGTGCGCCCCGAAGAGCCGGGGGTTGTTGTTGATGCTGCGCAGGGCCCCCAGCGCCTCCTCGTGCGTCCCAAAGCCCACGAAGGCGAACCCCAGTGACTGCCCCTGGCCCCGCTGCTCCCGCATCACCCGGCACTGCGGGATGGGGGGGACAGGGGGAGATGGGGACACATGGGGGGACAGCCAGAGCTGCTGCACCCCCAAACACACCCTTGGCGGGACACAGGGGACACTGGGGGACATGGATGTGGGGGGAAAGGACACCCACTACCTCTGCACCCATCACCCCCAAACCCACCCAGAGCCTCTGTACCCCCAAAAACCTATCTCAGAGGAGACACAGGGGGACATGGGGAGACACAGCAACCCCTTCTCCACCCCTAAAACCCACCCCAGTGGGGACACAGAGCACAGGGGCACATGGCAGGGGACAGAGGGGGCACACTGGGGGAAAACCCACCTCCCCTGCACCCCAAAACCCACCCCACAAAGAACACATGGGGGATGGACAGTGTCTCTGCCAGCAAGCCTGCTCCATGGGAGACACAGAGCATAGGAGAACACTGCGGGGGACACAAAGAGGGGGACATCCACATCCCCTGCACCCCCAGAACCTCCCCAGAGGGTACAGGGGGGGATACTGGAGAGATACCCACACCCCATGCACCCGCAAACCCACCCCAGAGAGAACACGGGGGGGACACCCACTGATTCTGCCCCCCCCCACCCCTCTTCCAGTGAGGCCCCAGCACACAGCAGCACATGGAGGGATCCTGGGGGCGGGGGGGAAAAGGGGGTCCCCACCTCCTTGATGCAGGGGCCCTTGCCGGCCCCCCCCAGGAGGCGGCGCAGGACCTGGCGCAGGCGGGTGCTGTCGATGGCCTTGGGCAGGTTGTGGACGCAGAGCCGGGTGCGCGACACGAAGATGTTGGGGTCCCGCAGCTTCTGCGCCTTCAGCTCCTCGAACTGGGGGAGCGGGGGGGGCAGGGGGGTCTGTGGTACCCCAAAACTGGGAGGGGGGAACAGGACACACAGAGGGTGCTGCAGGGGTCACACTCACCCGAGCGCGCTTGGCCATGTCAGCATCGCTCACCCCCTCTGCTGCCTTCGTCCCGGCCCGGATCACTGGGGGGGGGAATGGAGGGGGAGTAAAAGGGTTTGGGGGGTTAAAAGGAGTTTGTGTTTGGGGGAGACAAAAAAGGGGGAGAGGGGAGGTAAAAAACGAGGTTTGGGGGGGAGAAAGGGTGGTTGGAGGGGCTGAAAAGGGGGTTTTGGGGGGCAAAAAGTGGGTTCAGGAGTAGAAAAATGGATTGAGGGGGGCCAAAAATGGGGTTTGGATGGGCCAAAAATGGGGTTTTAGGGGATAAAAAAGGTTTTGGGGGAGAAAAAAAGGCGGCTCCAGGGGCCAAATAGGAGGAGTTTAGAGGAAAAAAAGGGGACAAAAGGGGGGGACCAAAAGGTTGTGGGGGGGCAAACCCCTGGTATTCTGAAGGAGGAAAAGGGGGCTCAAGGGAATAAAAAGGGGAATTTGGGGGGCAAAAGAACGGTTGCGGAGGGGGAAATGGGGGTGGGGAG